GGCGGAGGGGCTGCCAAGGAGGTAGGGAGGGGGGGTGGGTGGGTACACACGAACCAACGAATGCGCATCTGTGGCCATCTGTGTGTGTGTGTGTGTGTGTGTGCAGCACGACTAGCCGTTCGAGGTTCTGCGGTGGGAGCCCATCGGCGACGGCAAGAACCGCCGAATGCCCATCGAGCGCCTCCAAAGCAACTACATCACGACCATGCACGACACATGGGGAAGACCTCTTGACGGTACGCAGCCCAGGCGTCTAGCCAGCCCACAAGGGAAGGGGCCACGAATGTGTGTTTGAGTGCGTGTGTCTGTGTGTGCAGAGAACACGACGGCCGCCGGGGGCTCGGCTGGCGCTGCGATGCCGACTGCTCAGCCGGAGGGGCGACAGTTCGACCTGATGGCTCGACAGCAGCAACTGGTAAGGGCCTCACACGTGACACGGGCATCACGCAGACGACATGACATGTGTCGGATATTTGTGGTCAGGAGAGTCAGTTTAGTGGTCTTGTCGCACAGCTCGAACAACTACGTGCAAATCAGGTGAGCCCGACCACTCAGACTGACAAGACCGCATAATAAATATGTTCAGACAGACATCCACCATTCCCCCTTGTCGTGTCGTGTGCACCATGTTTCAGTGTGGTCAGATGCGTGAGCCCTACCCGCCCATGATGCCCTCTGCTGCCCATGATTTTCCCCCGCCCATGATGCCCTTTGCTGCCCATGATTTTCCCCTTCCCTCTCTACTCGGCCCCCCGCCCCCTCCCCCGTCCTTCCCACACCACCCATCTCTCGGCCCCCTGCCCCTCTACTCGCCTGGCCACCCCCAGTACGCCGACAGCCTCGTCCCCGGCATGCCATACCACACCAAGCCAGACGCGAGCATGCCTATAGGCTTCGAGGGCCGACGGCACACCGGCCGCTCTGAGCCGCGGGGGCGGGGCAAGAAGCGCCACAGGCAGCCCAGTGTGGGTTCACCTCAGCACCAACAAGGCGACAGTCACCGGGTGCGTTGTCAACATCGATGGATGGATGCACCAGCACTGCGCAACGCTCGTCAGCTCAGCATGTGTGTGCAATTGTCTGTGTGGTGGGCTCAGGTGGGTGTAGATGTTGAGTCGGAGCAGGCCACGGCGACAGAGGCGGGGTCCTCGCCGAAATAGGTATGCTGCCATGCACAGCCAGTCGCATCTCATTGGGCGCATCGCATGGGCATGTGTTTCTTTGTCTGTTCAGAATGTCTATACTACTGATTTTGAGGTGCAGCTGATTGCCGACTACGTCACGCTCATGGTGACCCCTGAGCGGCGATGCTTCGCTGCCATCTACGACGCCCTCTGCAAGGAGCCTCCCGATATCGCCACGGCAGATGGGCTGCTCAAGAAGCAGAACGCCATCAGCGGGGCCGATGCGCGCCGCAAGGCCGATGCATTCTATGCCGAGATACTTGGCGACAAGAACGTGCACGACAGAGCGCAGCTGCATGAGACCATGAAGAACATCGGACCCCATGCCACCGCGAGCGATGCGGCCCACAAGCGGCACAGAGACTTCAAGGACAAAGTCAAGACATTCATCAAGAAGGTGGCGCGCGAGGGCGATCGCATCCAACGGCACAAGGATGCGGTGATGGCCCGTAGCAGGTGGGGCAAGAAGGGAGGGAGGGCCGATTAATTGCAATGCCATCGTATTTATTGTGTCTCTCTCAATTCAGGGGTCAGACCATCTTGTCGAGTCGCAATCTGGATGTATAGATGTATAGATGGATGGTCGGTGGGCCAGGGGAGGCGAGGCGGTTGGTGGGGTGCGGTGCATGTCAACACAGAGGATTGATGGACTGAGTGACTGACTTGTGTGGATAGAGAGACGACTGACTGCATGTCCTGTTGGTAGATACTTATGTGCGTGGGCCAAGTGTGTGTTAACAGACGAAATACAAACATGGTCGGTCATCAGTCGATGGCATACATGGTGTGCGTCGGTGCGTGCGTTCATTGGTGCCTGGGCGACTGCACGACGCCATGCATCAGCCACAGCCACAGCCGCAGCCACATCTGTCTGCCTTGTGCCCCTCGTCCACTCGTCACACACCATTGATTCTATCAATGTGGTATCATTAGTCATGTAGCTGATTCTGATGCGCTTCTGCTTGGACACAACAAGACGCATTTCAATTGCCCCGGCACACACACACACACACGGTCACGTTCTCATCCCACGGCTATCTGTCATATAATTATCGGTATTTGGCCTTGACGAGCCCCCGTCTGTTCAGATCTCTCACCGCCTCGGCCTATCAAAGAAACCACAACAGCAACCACCACAACACACGCACATCGATCCATCCATCCATCGGTCCATGAGATGGATCCATCCATCCATCGGTCCATGAGTGCGTCAGTGGTCGGCTCATGCATGCGCTCGTTCGTTCGCACCTGTCTGGGCCCCATCCGTTTCCACTTGAGGACGTCACTCTTGGACAGCCTCACATGAGGCTTGGGCATGGCCGTCGTGCGGACCACGATGCGCATAGGGGTGCCCTGCAGCACAGCAGGGCACACACACACATACACACACACACCCTCACGCATCTGCAGGCTCTTTCTCTGTGTGTGTGGTGTGGTGTGATGCTGTCTGTCTGTCACAGACGTACGCACATCGAGTCTGAATTCGTCTCTGATGGCGTTCCTGAGCTGCTGGAGGTAGTTCCAGGGGAACTTGCCGTATACGTTGGACCACATCACGAAGGTCGGCGGGCGGGGCTTCACCTGCACACACACAACATCCATCCATCCATCTATCCACACACGCACATACATCCGCACACAGACATCCATGGCTGTCTGTGTCCCCGCAGACCCGCACAAGGTGACACACAGACCTGACCTGCGTAATATACTTGACATTACACTTGCTGCCGAATCGCCATGGCGGCGGCCAGCGCAGCATGAATTCGCGCAGGAAGGTGTTGAGCCGAGAAGTGGGCACTCTCGCATTCCAACGCTTGTACAGCACCTGCATGGACACTCTCACACATGGGTGTGGGTGGTCATGGCCATGGCCATGGCCGTGGGGGGGCGGGTGGTTTCCTTATTTATGTACCATGACGTTGTTCATAAGTGTGGCGATGTTGTGTCCCTGTTTGGCCGATATGAACACCACGGGGCAGTACTTGACGTTCGAGAACTTCCGACGAACACGGTCCAGGATCTCTGCACGGATCCTGCACACACACATCCACACATCCACACATCCACACATCACATCCACACAGACACCGACGGCTGTGAGGTACATCCGTGAACGAATGCATTTATTATGTGTCCGTGCTGGCTGACCTCGGGCGTTGGTCCTCTTGCACCAGGTCCCATTTGTTGATGGCGATGACCATTGCCCGCCCCTCCGCCTCGCTGATCCGGTGGCCGATGAACACATCCCATGACCCCACATTGTGCCTGATCATCATGTGTACGTCCATCCACACATCCACACATGTGCATGTGTGCGTGTGTGTGTGTGTGTATGTGTGTACCTGTCTTTGGACGCGTCGACGCATAGTATGCACACCTGGGACCGCCGCACGTTGCGATACGTCTGCAGCCCGGCGTCACGCATGTAGTCCGTGTGACGCGCCCTGACACACACACACACACACACAGCAAGAGCTTCATGCAAGGGTGTGATTGTGATGTGTGTGGTCACTTGAGGCCTCTGGTGAGTCCGTGTGTGTCGGTGATACAGATGGGGTGCCCGCTCCACTCGGTGTTAATGCCGATCGAGTCCATTGTCGTGTGCGGGGCGTCGTCGACGATCACCCTGCACACACACACACACACAGACACACACGCACAGAGAGAGAGAGAGAGGGAGACCCATGTGGATGCCTGTGTGTGTGTCTGTGTGCGGACCGTTCTTGTTTGAGAATGGCGTTGACGAGAGTGCTCTTGCCGGTGTTGGTTGGGCCGATGACCGATATGTGCACACGAGTGTTGAACAGCTGCCGACGACGCACCTGCACGCGCCATCCAGCAACCAAGCCATCCATTCATCCATCCATCCACACATGGCAATTTCTTCCACACCTCCAGCACGTAGTTTCTGATCTCCGCTCTGGGGATCTTCCGCTGGCGGATGTTCAGCCAACCTGGGAACACCTGAACACACGGCAGAAGGGCATGTCAGTCTGTAGCCAATCATTTCGTGTGGGCGTATGTCTGCAGCGCAGCGCACACAATGCACCCACCTTTGCCGGCGGTGGCTGGTAGAGCGCATCGTAGGCCGCACGCTGAGTCGCGTCCATCAGTGACGGATCTGACGGACACGGACACACCTCCATCCATGTGCGGTACGCGCAGCGCACGTGTGTGTCTTGTCTATCTGCCCCAACACCGACCGGCCGACCTTGCTTCATCCAGTCGACCCCCTGCATGATACGCGAGTTGGCCGGCGACAGGTCGTCCTCACTCTCACCCTCACCCTCTCCCTCCTCGCCATCCACAAAGTACTGCATGCATGAGCCCGACACACAATGAATGGATGGATGGCTGCACACAGGCAGGCAGGCTTACCTGTCCTTCATCACTCTGTTGGTCTTGCTGGTCGTCCGCCAGCATGAGGTTGGCGTGGACGGCGCCCGGTGCGTGTCTGTCGGTTGCGAGGAGCTCCTCCACCCCCCTGCTGCCGCCGATGCCCTGGATGTTCTGCAGCTGCAGCGTCGCGTTGATGTTGGGGTGGGCGTCATAGCCACGGCCTGGGAGGGAGGGGATGGACGGATGGCTCTGGGGTGCGTATGTATGTGTGTACCTGCTGCAATGAGCTCTGCTAGTTCGCGGCCGGTGGGTCTGGTCGCCTCGCTGCGTGACATGAACCGGCGGATCATGCACTCGTGTGTGTGTGTGTATATATATGTGTGTGTGCAGACCTTACCCCATCCACTGCAGTTGCCTCTCCTGGGGTGTTGGGAGGAAGGAGGGGTCCCCAGCAACCTGCCACACACACACAGGCCACATAGATACAAAATGGCTGCGTGACGCGACGTGTGTATGGGTCTGTGTGTGCGTGTGTGTGTGTACAAGAACGACTTGCCTTGTTTGTCTGGGCCTGTATGTATTTGACGAACTGGTGCGGCGAGCGGGGGCTCGGCAGCTGGTGGTAGCGACTCATCGCCTGACACACACATACATGGATGGATGGATGGATGGACAGATAAATCGGCGGATGGGTGGATGTAGTGTGTGCCTTCACGTACCTCGAGCCACCACACTGTGGCCCGGGACGCTTTGGGTGGCTTCACGCGGAGGGTTGCGTCTGCTGCCTGATGGATGAACGGAGAGAGGGAGGGAGAGAGAGAGACAGAGAGAGAGAGAGAGAGAGAAACAGAGATGAGAATTTGGGCGCCCGCGTGTGTGTGTGTTGTGTTGTGTGGTGCCTCACTGACCACAGTGGCATCCTCGTCGGCTGCCATGGCCCCCTCGTCGTCGGAATTGTCGGAGAAATCCGTCTCGGTCACCGTAACAGCAGGGCCTGCGGACACGCATGGATACATACACAGGTCTGTCTGTGTATGTGCGTCTGTGCTGTGTGGTGTGTGTGTGTGTGTTCAGGTACGTGTGATTGGGTTAGCTTTGATTTTGTTGCCGCTGGGGACCATCTCGGTGTGCTTGCCCTTGTGCACGTAATGGTACTCGACACCTAAACACAGACAGACAGACAGACGCACAGGCGGAGGGTGTGTCTGTGTGTGGATGGGATGTATGGGCCGAATGGGTGGGTGGGTGTCTTGTGTTGTTGCCTCTGGGTGGTGTTGGGAGGGGCCGATGGTCATCCTCACTGTCCTCTGCTTCACCCTACACACACACACAGCACACACACACACACACACAGAAAGAGAGAGAGACATACATATGTCTGTATGCGCAGATCACTCTGTGTGTGTCTGTCGCGTGTGTGTGTGGTGTGCACCTGGTCTTCGTCCATGAGTTCGTTCACCTCCTCCTCCTCACTCTCGTCACCAAACTCCTAACGGACCCACACAACACGCGTCAACACACTCTCCAGACAGCTTAGGTTGTTGGGGATGCATTCATGTTTTCCACTTGAGGCACCTGCAGGTGCCCGATCTCCAGCACAAGACGGTTGTACAAATCGTCAAGGCCCTGCACACAGCACAGCACAGCACAGCACACAGACATACACAAACAGCATACAGGTACTCATTGCTTACGCACAGACAGACAGTCAGACAGACAGACAGACGTACTTCGTTTCTCTCAGCGGATATGACGATGGGCTCGCCCAGGTCGAGCAGATAGCAGTCGGAAAGGTAGTCGCCGAGGTAAGAGCCGTCGGCCTTGTTGGCCAGCAGGACGACGGGCGGCTTGTGGATGTCAGTCTCCTCATATATACTCGACCCTGCACACGTACATACACACATCCGTGTGTTTGCGTGTGTTGGTGGGTGGGTGGACCTTACCGTCTGCCAGTCCGGTATCGGTGTTCTCCTGTTCTTGTTGTTGTTCGAGGAATATCCGCCTCTTCTCCTCGTATATGGCCTCGATCCACTGGTTGACGAGTTTGGCGAGTATCTGGTCTAGCGGTGTGATGCCCTTCTGGGCGTCAATCACGAACAGCACACACGCCACCTCGTCAAAGGAACGCTGCACCTGGTCGATTGATGCGCACACACGCGGACCAGGCAGACAGACAGATAGTGTGCTCCACTGGATGGATGGATGGATGAATGGATGTGTGTGTGTGTGCACCTACCTGTTCCCTCATTCTCTGCAGCAGGGTGCTGGCGTTGGTGACTCTCTCGTCCTCCAAACCGCCTGTGTCAATCAGCTTCAGCTGCAGACCACCTACATATATATGAATGTAGGCAGGCATTCATACACATTCTCGAACCTATCTATCCATGGGCACGTGCGAGTGCGTGTATACATCATGCGGATGTGCCTACCGAACACAGCCACCTCTTCGCGCCTGTCGCGAGTGGTGCCTACACCAAACATACCAATGCCAATGCCAATGCATCCATCCACCCACCGCATCGTGCCCACCCACCTGCCCTGGGCGTGACGAGTGCCTGTTTGTCCCGGTTGCTCTTGCGCTCAGTGCCCGACAGCATTCGGTTGAACAGCGTGCTCTTGCCCACGTTGGCCCGCCCAACTATCGCCACAGGCAGTGGATCGATCTGCCGCACACACATACCCACCCACAAGCGTTTGATGTCAACGATGCGCCGGGGGCACACACACAGACGAGTGAGTGCATAAGAGCCCGATCTTCAGTGTCGGTCGTCTTGTGTACAGTAGATAAGTACGTTTGGGTCAGGCTCCTTGAGAGTGACGCTCTTCGGGCCTTTGTACCGCACACGCGCGAAGGACCGCCGGCCGCCATCAGACCACCTGCACTGATGAGGCGCATGCACCGGGGCAACGCGTGATGCCGGCCCTGCAAAGCGCATCGATAACCACACGCGGGCAAACAACAAGCACCGATGTTGATTGAGTTCAGTGAGTGCATTTGGCCAGTCAATGCTGATCAATCTGTTACCTACCGGCATCAGACACAGGTGATGGGACGCTCATGTATGCCCGCCAGGAGGCCTTGTCGTGACTGCACCGGTGATGCATCGCCACCAGGGAGGAGGCGCACGAGGGCCGCAGCCGCCTCATGAGATGAGTCACGAAAGCGCAGATCTGTCAATGCATTGAATGCATGGCACTTCTCCGTGACCTTCCCACGCTATAATAAGCGACAAAATTCGGGCATTCCTTCTCCCAGGGTCGGCGAGCTTAGCTCGCGAATTGGGCGACCCTGATCCCTGCCCCTACAACTCAGCCTTGTAGATGGTCTTCAATGATGACTCGAGGCGCCCCGTGCCTCCATTGTGTGGTGATCTTGGTCGGCCTGCTGCAGCAGCTGCTGCACCTCACAGAAGCCGCCCGTCCTGCGCCAAGATCCGCCACTTATCCGCCCCAGCCGCTCGGCAGCCGGCGTCATGCAAGGCCATCAGATCTCGCTGCTGCATCATCACATCCACATCCACATCGACATCAACGTGGCCCTCTCTCCCCTGCTGCGGCAATACTGACAGATGGAGAGCAGCAGCGCAACGACAATGACGTCCAGCGCTCTGCATTGGGTGTGGTCCGAGGCCTCGCCAAGCCGCTAAGCTCGATCACTGACAGTACCAGCATCAGCTCTCATGAACCACCCTCTCAGCAGCCAGCCCAGAGGCAGCAGCAGCAGCATGATGATGATGTGGACGAAGGCCGATACAGCCGTCAGCTGTATGTCATGGGTCACGCGGCGCAGCGGAAGCTGTCGCAGGCGTCAGTGCTGATCAGCGGCCTGGAGGGGCCTGGTGTGGAGGTGGCCAAGAACTGCCTGCTGGCGGGGGTGCAGCGGATCACCCTCCATGACGACGACCCGTGCTCACACATGGACATGGCCAGCCAGTTCTGCATCGCTGAAGAGGTCGGTCTGTCAATGAGATGAGAGAGGCGGATCGGATCGGCACATGGTGGGCGTGTTGTCATGTTTGTTTGGATGGATGGATGTATGGATGGATGCAGGATGTGGTGATGGGTCGCGCCCGCAGCGTCGCGTGTCACGACAAGCTGGCCCATCTCAACCCTCTGGCGCAGGTGGACGTCATGCACGGCAATCTGACGCAGGAACAGCTCAAGCACCACGATGTTGTGGTGAGTGCGGCAGCACAAATGCACCAATATATCTGGCGGTGAGTGCATCGGTTATGGATGTGTGTGTCCATCAGGTGCTGGTCAATGCGCCAATGTCGCGGCAGATTGAGATCGACGACGCTTGTCGCGAAATCGGTGACCGTCACGGCCATCACAGGCAGCCCCGCGTTATTTCTGTCGGCTCGAGGGGTGTTTTCGGGTACGTGTACGCCGACCTGGGCAAGAACTTCACGGTCGACGACGCCACGGGCGACCCCCCCAAGAAGATCCGCATCACGGCCATGGAGCACTCCCCCCCGCCCCACACCCACACGCCCATCTTCCACTGCGCCGTCGAGGACGAGGAGCAGGGCCTGGTCGGCGGCAAGCACGACCTCGAGACGGGGCAGAAGGTGGTGTTTGAGGCCAACACGGATGTGTTGCACCACTCGATGCGGCACCACCCGCTGCTGGACGGGAGGGCGAGGAGGGTGCGGGTCATCGATCCGCTGCGGTTTGCCATCGAGGGGGAGGACATACGGAAGTACCCAAGATACAGAGGCGGGTTCTTCGCTGTCGAGGTGAGAGAGGACAAACCGACAGAGACCGTCTGGCTGTCTGGGCGATGTGTTTGTATGTGTTCTTGATCTGTCGGGTGGGTGGATGTGTTACTTACAGGTCAAGTCTCCGCTTCATTTATCGTACGCCTCCTTGGGCGACCAGTTTGGCCGCCCGGCGTTCTTCCCCACTGATTTTTCAAAACTGGATCGCTATCCGGTCATCCATGCTTGCTTCCAGGTCGTCTCACCTTACCCACACATAACACACACACATACAATGAATGGGACACACAACGCCCATCCCATGCATCCCTGTCTGTGGTGTCGCTTTCTTTGTTTGTCTTCAGTGTTTGGAGCCCTTTCATCAGCTGTACGGCCGCCTGCCCGTCCCGGGCTCAAAGGAGGACGCATATCGATTCATGGATGTCATGAGGCGGCGCTCCTCGCCCCTTCCCTTCTCACTTGACGACCCGAGTGTGCAGCACATCGTCGAGACGTTCGCCCGCACGTGTCGAGGTCAGCTGGCGCCTCTCGCGTCGCTGCTGGGGGGCATGGCGGGGCAGGAAGCCCTCAAAGGCATCACTGGTGGGTGAGAATTCTGACACACCCATCCATCCATCCACATGACGTATGTATGCCGGACTAATTCATCCATATCCATCCGTCAGGCACCTTCACGCCCCTGCAAGAGCTGCTGTACGTCGATGCGACCGAGGTGCTCCCGTCCCCCCTCCCCACACAAGAAGACTGCCAGCCTCAGTCGAGCCGCTACGACGGGCAGATCGCCGTCCTCGGCCAGAGGTACCAGCGCGACCTCCAGCAGCTGCGGCTCTTCCTCGTGGGCGCCGGCGCCATCGGCTGTGAGGTCCTCAAGACTTGGGCAATGATGGGCGTCGGCGGCCAAGTCAAGGGCAAACGCAAAAGCAGGGGGAAGAGCAACACAGGTCGTGTGGTGTTGACCGACATGGACTGCATCGAGCGGAGCAACCTCTCGCGGCAGCTGCTCTTCCGGGAAAGCGACATCGGCCGCCTCAAGTCGCACGTGGCTGCTGAGGCCGCGAGGACGATCAACCCTGAGATGAGGATCGAGGCCTATGAGCATCGGGTGGGTGGAGAGACGGAGCACCTGTTCGACGAGCGGTTCTGGGAGAGTCTCGCGTGCGTCTGCAACGCCCTCGACAACGTGGAGGCGCGGCTCTACGTCGACAGCAGGTGTGTCCTGTACAGGAAGCCGCTGCTGGAGAGCGGAACACTCGGCGCCAAGGGCAACACGCAGGTGGTGATCCCGCATGTGACTGAGTCGTACGGGTCGTCGCTGGACCCGCCCGAGGAGAGCGTCCCGTTGTGCACGATCAAGTCGTTCCCGCACCGGATCGACCACACCATCCAGTGGGCTCTGGACGTCTTCGAGGGGCTCTTCTTCGACGACGTCCTGCTCGTCGAAAAGTGGACCGACAACCCGGAGGCCGTATGGAACGAACTCCAGGTGGGTGCCTGCGTGGGGATGAGACGAATAACACGGGGGCCTCCACACGTTTGTGTTTGTGTGGCTGCGTATGTGTGTGTGTGTGTATGACTGCAGGAGTCGGACAGCGGCCGCGAGGCTGCGCAGACGATCATCGAGTTCGAAGCATTCACACGGTAGGTAGGAGTCAGCACGTGACACGGAGCTCGATGGAAACACACCTGAGTGTGTTTTATGCGTTGTCTTGTTGTGGTCATCAGCGGCGGGTCCCCGTCGTTCGATGACTGTGTGCGGTGGGCGCGGCATCAGTTCAGCAGCCTCTTCGACCTGCCCATACGCAAGCTGCTCACCTCCATGACACCCGTAAGCACACTACAGCCGTACAGAGAGAACAGGTGACCACATCCACCTGACCACTTTGGCTGCCACCAGGATGCTCTCTACGAGAAGACAGAGAAGCTAGGCATTCCGCCCCCCCAGCCACTGGCCTTCGACGCCGCCGACCCCACACACGTCGACTTCATCCACTCGGCCGCCATGCTGCGGGCCGTCTCGCTGGGCATCCCTGTGCCGAAGGGGATGAACAGGAAGCGCGTCGTGCAGACCCTGCAGCAGTTGCAGCCAGTGCCGCAGCTGAATGAGACATCCCAGGCAGCAACAGCAGCAGCAAACAACAGCAGCACCGGCACTAGGAAGGTGTCCTCCTTCTCACCGCAGGAGTTTGAGAAGGATGACGACGGCAATCACCATGTGGACTTCATCGCGGCGTGCTCCAACCTAAGGGCCAAGAGCTACCACATCGAACCGGCCGACAGACACAAGACAAAACAGGTGGGTGGGCGCTATGCACCGCGAGGTCACAAGAACGGGCACAACCCATCCCATGTGTCTGTGTGTGTCTGTCTCTCCCTCCCTCCCTTACTGGTGTCAGATTGCTGGCAAGATCATCCCCGCGATAGCCACGACGACAGCAGTGGTGGCCGGCCTGGTCTGCCTGGAGCTGTACAAGCTGCTCCAGCACGGCTACTGCACATCACCGTCATCACCATCTCGCACACGCCAGCAGCCAGCCACCGACCATTCCACTGTCCCATGGCAGACAGCCGACTCCGCAACCGAGGAAACGAACGAGGCGTCACGGGCACTGTTCAAGAACGCGTTTGTGAACCTGGGCCGGCCCTTCATCGCCATGACCGAGCCGCTCCCGCCTCTCGATGAGGGGCCGATCGAGGCGGGGCCGTGGAAGGGCTATGGGTGGACAGTCTGGGACAGCATCGACATTGACGAGGGCTACGACGTGACGCTTGAGGGGTTTCTGCGTGTGGTTCGCGAGCGTCTGCAGCTGGATGCGCAGATGGTGACGAGTGACGAGGCGCTGCTGTACTCGACGCTGCTGCTGGAGAGGTCTGACGTCGAGGAGATGAAGAGGCGGCGGAGGGCCAGGATGAGGGAAGTCGCCAGAAGGGTTAGTTGAGCTGGGGCAGGAGAGAGAACGATCGCCCCTCCCTGTGTGTATTGTGGTGTCTGTGTGTGTATGTCCATGTGTCATCAGAGTTGGCATGAGCTGGACGAGGCCTTCCCGAAGGGCCGTCAGCGGCACCTGAGCGTCGAGGTCTTCGGCACCGACGCACACACGGGGGAAGAAGTGCTGCTCCCTCCAATCAGGTGCGCACAGATCACCGATATGCCGAAGTATGCACATATGTGTGTGCATGTGTATGTGTGTGTGTGTCTGTATGTGTGTGTGGTGCAGGTATCGGTTTGACCACTCTGACCGCCCAGTGCGTGCTGTCATCGCCCGCACCCTGGCGTCTCTGCGTGCTCTCGTCGAGGCCATCCGGATGCTGATCGACTCGTCAGAGCGCCCCACTCTGAAGGACTGGAAGAGGCGGTTAAAGAACCACGCTGATGCTGCCCCCGCTGCTGCTGTTGCTGCTGCTGCTGAGCACCCGCAGCATGCTCACCACCACGAACACGTGTTGTCTGATGCACGGAGCAATGACCATTTGACGGGTGTTGACGACGAGCAAGATGTAAGGACGTGACAGGCCGTGTGTGCGTGTCTGCGTGGATCGGTGCAGGGAGAGAGTGTGACATCGATGCATGGCATGGATGATATGCATTTCTTTGTGTCGGTCTCGCAGCTACGCAACACGAACCACACAGCATTGCATTCACCGACAGACATCACTCATACACCCACCCATGCATGCATCGATTAGGTCCGTGCAGCCCCTGCTAAGTCGACCAGCCTGACATCACGCTCAATAGGCAGCTGCACACACACAACAAACCAACACATGCACAGCACACGAAGCAGTCAGTGGACATCCAGCCAGGGCCAGCAAGCAGAGCGTACCACCACTTTCAGCACTTGTTTCTTCCCATCCCACTTGGCCGAGCCCTGGTCCTTCTTCACTGCACGCAACACAGCCATTCCAGCAGGCACACACATGGGGTACACACACCCATGCACAGCGCAATGCCATCCACGTACCGGCATACGGCAGCGCAAGATTCAGTCGGTACTTCGGCGACATGACGATCAGACGCTCACGCAGCGTCTGAGAAGAAATGAGCACTTGACATGAAGGCCTGATTAGCAGTGGGTGTCCATCTCACCTCCAGCGTGATGTCGGGGAGCTTCGTGTCCGGCAGCTCTATCTGCAGAGGAAGGCCAGACGGACACACACATAAGGTGCATGAAGGAGACACGGGGGGTCCCACCTTTATGGTGATCTCTTCACAGTGGTCGGAGGAGACGTCCCTGTCGCTCATCCCAAGATACACATCCTCGGTCCCCACCTTCTGCCGATACAAGATCTGCAACCCATCCAAGACACACAGCAAGGCAGGTCCGCTGCGTGAGGGCATCTGTGTGCGCAGTTTCATCTCACCTCGTATTCAGGTTCGGTCCGGTGGTCGTCCTGCTGCAGCGTGATGCCCTGCTCCACCTCGCTCTCGCCCCAGATGTCATCCTGCTTGGCCCTCTTCTCCGCTTTATCCGCACAAGGCGTCTGCACACACTCAGAGACACAAAGTGCACGCACTCGTGGTGATCTATTGGCGACTCTTGTCACCTTGGCGGTCACTTTGACGTTTGGCGGTGCGATTCGCCTCGTGCCCTTCGGCCCTGTGATGGTGCCGGGTGTGAGAGCCGTCCCGCCAGGCACCGTGGGGCCTGGGATGTTCTCGTCCTGGTCATCGGGACACAGCAGGCTGCACAGCGACTGGATGTTCCGAGCATCAGACAAACAGTCCATACCCCAAAAGAGCCGAGAATTCGCAAAAGCGCTGAGAATTCGGCGAGGCCCTTTAGGGCAGAGAGAGAAACAGATGTGGACAGACGACCGGATGGATAGAGATGATGGCCCAGCCGAAAGGACAGGTAACACAGCAAACACAATGGTTCATTCGAATCGCATTCATTCATGAGCAGGCATGGGCGTAGCGGCGCACTATTGCGCTAATCTCTAAGAGCGGTAAGCACAGGCGGATTTCCCTGCATGCCTGCATTTATGTCCGCTGTGTGTGCAGGTGAGGTCTGATGTTGTACACAGGCAACACAAGGTGGGATATTGGTTGTTTTTTGTGGTCGGCAGGTCGGCAGGGTGACGAGCTCTCCCGCCGGCGCTCAGGCGACGCTCAGCGACGCCATGGACGAAATTAGCACTATCGCAGAAGCGCACACACTAGCCGACGTAAGGGGAGGATCCTGGCGGAGGAAACGGATAAGGGGGTGGGGGAGGTACGCCCGCCGCGTCAGTGTGTGTCCGTGCGTGTTGTGTGTGTGTCAGTCTGGTGGAGTTCTAGCACGGCGGGGCGACGAGGAGTCGATCGACATGTATGGAGAGCAAGATGGCTACCAAACACACGGCAAATCGATAGCGGTGCGGCCAGACACACAAACAAATCGAGACAGACGGTTCACCATGGGTGGGTGGATGGATGACTACGATTTGGCCTGCCACGTGCAGCTGCCTCTAGAGGACGTTGCACTATCACCATCTGCAGCTGCTGCTGCTGCTGGCGCCGCAGGTGTGTGGGTACTCCACGTATCGCAACATGACTTGGTCGTCTGTGCGTGTGTCGTTCAGGTGGACCGGACACCGTGACTGAGCCTCGGCAGCAGGGAGGACCAAATCGTGCCACAGACAAGGTGAGCACTCTGCAGCAGACGGCTTCCATGCGGGATTATCGTTCATTCATTCATTCACCCATTTATCCATTCATTGGTTTTGTGTGTGTCAGTCATCGTACGGCCGTCCGTGTCTGCCGGGTCTTCCTGAGGTGGTCATCAACCTGACGGCCGCGCTGATCGAGACGAGCCACACAGCCCGGCTGTCACGCGTCAACCTAGAGCTGTACGGCAAGATAACGCACGAGACGATGGGCGTCTATCGAAACCTGATCGTCACATCCGAGGACGAGGAAGTGTGCACCCGTCGAGGAAGGATGACACCTTTAGCAAGCGCGCTGAGCAGCTGGACCTGTACGACGAGACGCGTGACGCTCACGATATCCCCACCCATAAGAAGATCCTCCAGCAGCGACTGGTGGGTGAGTGTGCATAGCAGGCAGGCAGGCAGGCAGGCAGAGGGGCGCGATCCCAAGGACACATTTCACTCATCTCCGTCTGTTTCTGGCCGGCTGCAGTCGAAGATGCAGACGGTCCACCTAGTCATTGCGACCCCCTTCATTTTCGAGTGCCTGGAGGCGTCGCGACCGACACTCAAGGCCATCATGCTGGGCGACGTACATGTACGGCATAGCCGTGAGCCTCGTGCCGCCTCAGCGTCGCCTGTCGTCTTCCCGCAAGTCGAGGAGCTGCGCATAACGAACTTTGACACCCTGTGCACGTGAGCAAGGGACAATGGGTGGATGCCGCATCTGGCTGGCTGGATTGATTGATTGATGTCCTGATATCCTCTGTCAGGGTCGTTGAATCTAGCTGGCAATTCTCACGACTGAAGAGTTTCGACACCGGCTCGGTGTGGGCCGTCCGCGAGCTCTCCAAGCTCAACTACATCATCGAGCACGCGCCTGCCTTGAGACACATCGACGCGGCGGTCGAGGCCAAGGCCAGCGCCCAGTGGCGCCGCTTCGTCTCGCTGTGCGCCCAGTGCCCCAACCTCACGTCCATCGGGGACCTCGAGACCTGCCAGTGGGAGTTCGACGCCCTGCACGACGAGATTACATTCTGGAGGAGACCTGATCGCCTCGGTAGGTCGGCAGGGGGACGAATTAGATGTCATGATGTCTTCCGTCCGTGTCTGTCAGGTGTGATGAAGCATCTGAGCATCTGTGACAGACACGGCGAGATCAGTGCGACGTCCGGCCAGCGTCTGCCGATTGGCGGTCGGTACCGTCTGACGCTGCCTGACCTGCTCGAGTGGGCGAGGAGCGTCAAGTGCAACATCGACTGGTCCAAGCCTTCCAAGTCTCGATGCTTCACTGTCCGCTGCAGCCAGGACGTGACGATTGCCCGGCCGGCCACCTTAGGGCGTGTGGCGATGCCATCAAGAAGATCGCGAGCAGGGTAGACGAGGTAGGAAGACACAGACATTCACACGCACACACACGTGGCGAACCGGTGGCGCTGACGTCTCTGCATGGATCCATTCAGGTTCGGTTGTCATGTGGCGGCATGCCGGTTCACTCCTCGCCATGTGGCGGCATGCTCATCTTCGACACGGCGAGGAAACTGGAGATCTCATGCTACGACTCTGCCGAGAGAACGATGGAGAGCATCCCGCTGTGGCTGACTGAGCGCACAGAGGGCGCCGGCAATCGACACCTGCCATCTGTCACTTCGCTCGAGTGCAGCCTGGCTTCTCTCTCTACTGGCTTACCTGCTAGCTCCAATCCTCTCTCCTCGCTGGTCGGGTCCCTCTCTTCTCTCAAGCAAGTGACTTTGGAAGTCAGGCGGCTGGGCGACTTAGCGAAGTGTCTATCGTATGTATCTGTCGACGCCTTAGACTGGGTGCGTGTGCCGAGTTGGTACTTGGATGACAATCTGAGTCCGCTCTCGGCACACACACCTGGTCGATGGCGATTCCCGTCAATTGACCGCTTTTTCCTATTCATAGACGAGGAGGATGAAGACACCGATCTAGACTACGACGGCATTCACGTCAGCATTGCGTGTGTGCGGTCGTGCATCGATTTGATTTTTCTCGTGAGGCCACAGCACGTCGAGATGCGCGTGTTCGTGCCGTTTGACGAGTTTGATGATACGGATAAGCAGAGAGGCCTTCGGCTGCTGGCTGTCGAGTGCATTCAGAAGGCCAGCCAGCACTACTACACTGTCCGTGTTACATACGACGTGTTTCCTGAACCGACAAACGGCATGGCAGCCGGGGACCCACCAGCATGCGGTCTCTTTTTGAAACTCAAGGCAAAATGAGCAGAGGGGTGAGGCAGGTCATAGAGGGGGACAGCTGATTGCATGAATGGGACAGACAGCATTCATGCGTGTGACGAGTCGTCGTATATTAGTTGTGCAGCATGCCTTCAATTCGAGCTCCATATGGTGAGTCCATCCATTCATTGCATTGTCTCTCGAGTGCAACAACAAAACTCAAAAGACGCCAGCCAATGCACGACGTGAGAGGCAGCCCTCACCATAAAGGGACCAGCCCCTGGGAGAGACCAGTGCACACTGGTCCCTCTCTCCCCTTCTCTTATCATCTCAGCTTAATGCACTCAATCGCCTTACTCACACACAAGCCCCTCTCTCTCTCTCTCTCTCTCTCTCTCTCTCATCGCGAACTTTCAGTAGATGATGGGCAGGATCTTGTTCGCCATCACACGGCGGCCCTGAACAGACACGAAACGGAACAAAGGACACAGCCAAGTACGATTGACAGACACTGTCGGTCTGCGTGTGTTCACACGACGATATGCTCGAGTTCATCTGTGTGGTGTGGTCGACGCCCTGCCTAAGTCCGTTAGGCTGAGGGTGCTCGACAGCCAACTGATACAAGACAAGCAAGACGCACCAGGCACTCATCCCATCGCTGTGTTTGCCTTGCCCAACTCTGCTTACGTCCGTTCATCTCGAGGGCGCCTCCCCTTCCCCCTCTCTGTCCTCCCTGCCCCAGCAGTCCCTTCCTCTCCTGGGAGGTTCTCGTCCTGGTCATCGGGACACAGCAGGCTGCACAGCGACTGGATATTCCGAGCATCAGACAAACAGTCCATGCCCCTAAACAGCCGAGAAAGGAGGTCAAAGGCCAAAAATGTGCAAGCTCGCAAGGCGATCGCGAGCGGCGAAATGGCGAGGTTCCCTGCGTTCTGCGCCCATCGGAGGCTTGCATTTGCTGTCCTCATCGCCGATCTATTAGCAACGGCAGAGATCATCCATCGCGGGGCCTCATTTCCCTTCGTCGACGAGAATGGGACAGCCCCGGCCGCAACAGCCGCTACGCTCGAAGGGCACCTCGAGCAGCTAGCCGCCGCCCTATTAAGCCCGAGAAAGCGACACAAACACCACCCCAGCCACGCTCTCATCGGTCAGAGCGCTCGCCACATCCCCCAGAGCAGAGCTATGATGAGGGGACTTCTTCTCGTCAACAACAGCACAGAGGACATCAGCCAAATCCCAGCGGCAGTGCAGAACGCTGCCGACGAGATCCTCAAGTCCGTCGCCTCCACATACCAACACGCCTCGTCGGATCAGCTGCGGTCGGGTGCGCATCTGTATGCGGCCGTCAAGAAAGTGGCCGACAGCGTCGCTGCACGGCCCAAGAACGACACCATGATACATGCCGCACTGAAGGCGACGGCTAAGGTTCTCAAGCAGAGCGTCCGTGAGGCAGTGAGGGAGGATTCGAAGGCCATACTTGAGATGGCTGACGCTACGACAGTGGGGCTGACCAAGCTGGTGGATGCGCTGAATGAGAGTGTGGTCGATGCGGATGAGGAGCTGGAGGAGAGGGACCCGGCAGACGTGCTGGGCATCGACTTAGACATGGACTGACTGACTGACTGACTACATGCGTCTATTGATGAACTCGTGATATGCGTATTCATTATGAAGACGTATTGACCCAACAGCATATGACTATCACAGCAACGCTTCGCTCATACACATGAGTTGTCGACGAATGCGCCAAGTAGCCTATCACTGTACAAACACAGCAGCCCAGAGAGAAGACTCGTGCCCACCCTCATTCGGCTGTTCTGTGTCCGAAGCAGGCAAAAGCAACATGCACATATTCATGTACCTACAAACCCCGCCACACACGTCAAGTAGAGCAGCACACTCACCGACACCACCAGCAGCAGAGACAGACACACTCAGGGGTCACGCCTAGGTCATTTGTCTGTCTTGGACCTCCCCCGCCAGCCGCAACAAATCGCCAGAAGTAGCGCAGCTCCGCACACACAGACACATAGACGTTGACCCGCGTGCTTGTCCACTCTAGAAGGCAGAGATAGGTGGACAAGGGGAGTATTTGCATTGATGTGCTCCTGGCGCACATCCTGACTGTCGCTGCCGTATGCTTTCGCCAGGGAGACGAGCCAGAGGACGGCAGTGTGAGAGATGCCGGTGCCGAATTTTCAAAAGCACACGGAGACGGGGGCCGTCATCTTCTCTTCCCATCGAATGGCTGTCCCAGCTACTGCATGACGGCAGTGCGCCGGTGAGGACTTATCACTCTGTATCTTCCACCCCTCAGCAGGAGCAACAGCCAGGGGTGTCAGTGTCCCATTCTCAGCAGCCATCGATACCGTCACGTTTGTGTGCGGAGGGGTCGGGCGTGTCGGTCACAGTGCACGGCGATACGGTGGACGTACGACGGTGGCTGGTGGATTCCCGCTCTTCACGCTGAGAGCTGCCTCCATTCCCTCGTGAGCAAGAGACGTACACACGCACACGACGCGCATATGGCCTCTGCAGAGCATGCTGGACTCTCATGCTTGTTCGTCCTTCACTGTGCCTTTCAGCCTGTGTGTGTCTTTAAATTCAGCGCGTATTCTCAAGCCAGCGCCTGGACGGAAATCTCAACCTCGCGCGATGAGACGGAGACGCCCCCAAATTATTTTCCGCGCAACCTACTGCAGATTTTCCGCATTCTGCTCCATCTGCCTTATTTCAGCCACAGATCCTCCGTTTCTTTTTCTCTTTGGCTGGTCGTTGGCTTGTGCTGTCCGCCGCATCTCCCTCTACACCTCCCAACTCATCCGGATGTCACCCGCCACTTTTTTCCTCCACCGCCGTGCCCCAGGGGAGGCCTCGGTGGCCAGCTTGGTGGTGGCGCCCTGCCTTCTGTGGAACGCCTGGCGACTGCCTGGCACCTGCCGAGTGCGCACGCACCTTCTTCTCGCACAAACCGCCTCCATTTGGTGAGTACATGAGTGTGGCCACGTTTTGTGCCATGTGTCTTGGGTGAGGTGATGGAGTGGTGTCTGGATGATGTGTAGGGATGACTGCATGGCGCACTTTGTTGCCATTGGTGTGCTCATATGCCTCCCTGGCCATCTCTGTGTGTGCAGATGAAATGGTGATTTCTTCTTTTCGTTCCCGTCTCCTTTTCTCGACACATTTCTGGAAGGTCACTGAGTGCCTCACTCAGTCTGGTGTTCACGTGCACGTCGGATTCCCTGTCTGCTGCTTTCCAGAAATGCAATTCCTTGGTCCGACGAGAAGAAAAGAAAAAAAGAAAACAGACAGATCTGATCCGATCCGGGTTGTGTCCTGCGGCAGGATGGGAAGATTTCATTACGACGACAACCTCCTGGCCAACGAGAAGACCTGCACATGAAGGACATAATGGTACTTGAGTACTCACGGTGCACTGAGTCAAAAATTCAGAATGCTCACTGATTTTTTTCTTTTTTCTTCTCTCTCTTCAGAAAAGCGAGCTGTGCTTTCAGACGAAAAGTGGAGCTTGTGAGTGAGTAAGCCAGCGACTTAACATTCGCCGTCATCAAGGGCACTTCAGATTCTGACAAACACTTGACATCTGTCCCTTTTGTCTTATCTTTCAGCTGAGCGAGAGTAGTTTTGTGGCGGCGTTGCCTCCAAGCATTGTCCTGAAGGCCACTCAGGTGCGTAAGTACATAAGGGAGAAAAAAGAGAATAAAGCACAGATTTGTCTCATGTCTCCTCTGTGTTTCCTCTGTTTCACTACGCATACTTGGCCGCTTCGGCGGCCATCTATCGGCCTCAAGGTGCCGCACTGAATGGTAAGCTATGTGTGTACCTTCTCTACTTCATTTACATACTGTGTTGTCTTCGTTGCTGCAGCCGCACGTGGCGCAGCTCTCTCTGCGAGGAGGTCATCGAGGTGCGGGAGGCCGCCGTCAAGACATGGCTCAAGAAGCAGACCCACCACATGCCTGCCAGGTGAGTGAGAGGATCAACCCGCCACAGAAAGGCCTTCAAAACATGTGTGCCACACACACATACATCTGTCGCACGTGTGTGTCTGCAGAGGCGGTCAAGGGGGCGTTTCGCGAGCTGCAGATGCTCGACCACCTGCACCTCTGGTGTGAAAGGAAGACAGAACAAGGAGGAGAATGCACCATTTTGCTCATGTCTCCTCTGTGTATGGATCTTCTGTTTCTCCACGCATAGTTCCGTGATGTTCCGCGTGTTTGTGCGTTGTGTGTTGACCAGCATCAAGAAGCCCCTGGAGGCTGCCAAGACCACGACACCATGCCGAGGCGACAGGACGAGTCGGACAACGATGACGCCGACGGTGAGGACACGCAGGGAGCGGAGAGGGACGAACGAAGTGCATTGGATGGCGAGAAGTCGTCACTGCAAGCTGCATGTGGATGCCATTCTTATCGTTTCTGTGCATGCGCTGCCATGTGTTCTCTGTGCAGGCCATGATCGCCTATATGCGACGAAGCCACGCCGCAGAGGACCGACACGCGTGTCCTTGACGTGCATAGATGCGTGGGTGTGCATTCGCACGCCGCCTTGGTCACTTTTTGCTGACCAGCACCGCGCGCACCACACCATACCACAGCCCAGCCAAAGGGGGAGAGAGGGATGAGAGAGAGAGAGGGAGCAGAAGAGACCAACGCCCATCAGAAGGCAAAAGAAAAAGAGACAAAAGAGAGAATTAAGGCCCACAAGAAGGCCGCCCGACAGGAGGGAGGGAGGGAAGGAGGGAGGGGGTAGATTCATTCGATATTCGGGTAAGCTCAGGAAGTGTTGGTGGAGGTGGTGGTGGGGAGGGGTCTGGCTTGGCCAAGATGGATGTAGACGAGGGTCAAGTTGCTGTGGGTGTGGGTGTGGATGAGGAAGAGAAGCCCACTCACCTGCGGCGTGTTGATCTGAATGGAGAGATGAGGGCCGTCATACTCTCGAAGCACAGGTACCTGACCACCCACACACACATGTGATGGATGCATGGATGCGGTGAGCGATCCCGGAGTGCATCTCTCTTGCTGTTGTGGCTGGGGTAGGTAAGCAGACCAGCGGCGTCTTGACGAGGAGTCGCAAGGTCCTTTGTGCCTGACGACCGCGACAAACGCCTCCACGACAATGCACTCTTCCTCGAGGCCGTCGACGGGCCATGTGATCTATTTGCCTTCAGATATCGCTGTCTACATCTTATATTTGACGACCGATGACAACTTTGGATCGCTGCCTTGTTCCAGCCATCTGCAAGGGGTATGTGTGTGAGCGCTCAAAGCCGACTGATCAACACGCCCCGTGTCTGTGTGTGCAGATGGATCGCTGTCTACGTTTTATATCTGTGGGCCTCTCCTACCCCATTGACGCCGGCTGGTGTGCATGGATCGCATAGTG